TCTGGCGCTTGTAGGTCTTGATCTTCTGCTGGAGCTTATCGACGAGGTCCTGCATCCTGTCGTGGTTTCTTCTTGTCCTCGTCAGTCTGGAAGGCGAGCTCCTTGATGCGCCTCTCGCACTTCCTCAGGTTCTTCTGGGCATCAGCGTGACGACGGGTCTCATCGTCCAGGGAAGCCTCGAGTTCGCGAATGCGAGCTTCAAGATCGCTGACAGCCTTCTTACCAGTCTTAAGGGCAGCGGCCTCACTTTCCTCAAGACGGGTCTGGAGATCCTTGACGGTACCTTCCAAGGCCTTACGCATCTTCTCTTGGTTAGTGGCGTGCTCTTGTTCAGAACGGAGCTCATCAGCAAGGCGAGCAGCATCTAGCATGGCCTTCTTCGCCTTCTCCTCAGAGTTCTTGGCTTCGCTGAGCATCTCCTCAAGGTCAGCCTGTAAGAAAATATATCATTAATGTAGCTGAATGCGCAACATTTTAAAAAGAAGTGTTGAATCTGGTAACACTGAGATAAGCCTACCTGCAGGGTCTGCATTTCACCCTCAAGTTTCCTTTTGGAGGCAGTGAGAGCAGCATTCTGGGTGGTGAGGTTGTTGATCTGTTCGCGTGCATCGTTGAGCTCAGTCTCAGCATGACGACGACCGCGGTCAGACTGTTCCAGGAGAGTTCGGGATTCTTGCAGCTCACCGTAGAGGGCGTTGAAACGGCGTTCGGCAATACCATACTGCTCGCGGTACCCGGAGGCAAGACGTTGCTCTTCCTTAACACGGGACTCCATACTCTTTATTTCATCCTGGATCTTCTTGTAGTGTTTTTGAAGATCAGAATTGGCCTTATTGGCGTGGTCAAGGGCAATTTCAAGCTCGTTAATATCGGACTCGAGCTTTTTCTTTATGCGAAGAGCCTCGGCCTTACCCTTGGCTTCAACCTCAAGAGAAGCTTGCATGGAATCAAGAGCCCTTTGGTGACACTTACTGCAAATAGAGAAAACGAATGAGGATATGATTGAATATTGTACTATTTTTTCTTTATAGAAGTTCATTCATACCACAGGCCCCCTATTACCCTCAAGAAAAAAGAAGAAAATAAACATGTGAGAGTGGTGAACATGCTATACCACAGTAGCGTAAACTTCACATATATTTATACAAGATGTATACAACTCACCGAGTGTTGTCGAATTCCTCCTCCTTCTCTTGAACACGCCTGTCAATCTCTTGCCTGACCTGGCTGAGCTCAAGCTGTGTTCGGAGGACCTTGTTCTCCTCTTGTTCTAGGGCAGCCTCGGCTTCCTCAAGAGCAGCCTGAAGCTCTTCCTTCTCAAGTTCAAGGCGCTTGGCGTTCTTCTGAGCCTCATGGTACGCTCGGCCGCCCTCACCGATCTGGTCCATCAAATCTCTGATTTCATCATTAAGATTCTTGTTCTCGCGGCGTATAGCATCGAGTTGTTCAATGTTTTCATCATTGGCAGCCTTCAGTCGGAAGTGTTCGGTGGCGTAGTTGCGGCATTCCTTCTGAGAAGCATCAAACTCAGCAGCAAGGTCTTCGACCTTCAGCTTCCACTCGGAGATGATCTTATCAAAGTTCTTCTGTTTCTTCTCAGCAGAGTTGGCCAGAGTCTGTGCACGTTCAGCAGCAACTTGGAGGTCATCCAGCTCAGCAGCGGCACGCATCTTGGTCTTCTCCAGATGCAAATTTTTAACATTGAGAGACTCAATCTGCATTTCGGCTTCCTCGAGACGAGCTGCGAGCTTCATGCGCGCAGCCTCAATTTCCTCTGCGCGGGCAACGCCCTCAGACTCGTACTTGGAGCGCCACATGAGAGCCTCGGCATTGGCCTTGGAGAGCATGCGCAGAACATCCCCTTTGGCTTCGTTCTCCTCATCAAGTTGTTGACGAAAGAGTCTGAATGTCGTGTTCCAAGTTGCGGAACTTACCAAGGAGTGTGGCACGTGCCTGATGGTGAAATGTAGAGTAATATCAATTAATCTGTATATTCTTGTTAGTGTATTATTGGATTCATCATTAACGACACGAAAAACTTACCCTGCCCTCTTCTTCAGAGAGTTTCCTGGTGTCATCGAGCTGATTCGTAAGAGAGAGCTTGACTCTGGAAAGCTGGCTGACCTGGCTCTCAGCCTCCTCCAGCTGACGAATGAGATCAGCATTTTCGCAGGCAAGCTTCTTCTTGGTGGCATCATAGTCGCTCAAAGTGCGTTTAACTTCATCAAGCTTGGCGCAAATCTCCCATATTGGTGCTAAGACTGTTTTGGTTGGTCTTCTCACAGCGGTCTGAAGTTTTTCACTCGTAATATCGCATTTAGTTTAAAACCTTACCTGGCACAACACACTTCATCATTCACATCATCATCACATTCTATCCATCTACACACACATCATCTATTCTTATCATCTATCATTCCTTTTTCACTACACATCACTTTATCTTTACTACATTTTTCTTATCTCTACTTCTGCGCCTCATCCGGTCTCCTACGCCGTCGCTGCAGTCTCCCTATCACTTCTTCTTATTTATTCATCATCCTATTACTCTATCTGTTCGTCCTCCTACTCATCACTTCATCTCACATCTCTCTCGCACCATCCCATCCACCTTCTCATCTCACCTGTCCTACTTGACGATCCTTACCTTCTTATCACATTTCAGGCCCGACATTCCACCTCCCTCATCACTCCGCCACTATACTCGCCACTTATTATCGCGTTACTCCTCGTGTTCTCGCGTTTCGCATACCCTCATATTCTTCTTGATACCCATCTCTTCGCTCGCGTATATCCTACTTCTCTACTTCCTCTCTCTCCTCACCTTTCCTTGTAATACTGTCTCACCTCATCCCACCCTTTTCACTGCCCGTGTACGTGCTATATTGTGTGGCTGCTCTTATGCGCTCGGATGCCTGGTTCCTTCCTCCTGTTTTTCCTTTCTTTCTCCTTCTTCTCCTCATATCTCACTACTCATCTATTTACTTTGCCTCTATTTATTTCCATCATCTTCTCCATCTCACCTACTACCGTACCACTTTGGCTTGATCCTTCTTTATTGATCATTCCTACATCTCATCACGTCTCCTGTGCGCTGTCCTGAAACCATCTACCTTAGTAGCTACTCTGCTATAATTCATTCACCATCTTTATCACTCTATCTATCACTGCGCGCGCTCGGCCTACTCTGCTGCTATCATGCTATCCGTTCCTCCTCATTCACTGAGACGATTCATTGACGCTATATATTATTGATGCTTGCTTTATGTTTGGATATCTCCGCTCTCATTATCTCTGCTTTAATACTCTACCCTCGATCTTATGTTATTCTATCAATGCTGCATATCTTTATTCTAATTTATATTTCTTTACTTTATATATACTTTCTCTTTTTACTATTTTATTACTTATTTTTATTATTTTTTTTATTTCATTTCTACTATCTCCTTATTCTTTTATTCTCTTACCTCCCTTATTCTATTTCTCTTCTTTCTTTATCATATTTATTTTTATATTATTTTTCATTAATTCTTATAGCTACATCGGCGTGTTCCCGCTTACTATTGTCCCAGCTCTACTCACTGTCTTGCACTCTTCTCAGTTTGCGTCCCGTCTTTCGCTTCCCTTACTTAATTCTTAGTTGTGTACTTACTCCTCTCTCATCTTTTACTATTCCCGCTCGTGTTGCCTCTTCCTTCTTCTCTCTGATTCTATTTACCGTGGTTTATTTCTTCTCATCTATATACTTTCTTTCTTTATTTTCTATTCTTTTTTTTCCTTCCTTTTCTCCCTTTTTCTCACTCCTTCCCTTCTCGTCATATGTTTCGCAATCACTTATAGTTATTCTGCTATATACTATTATCTATTTACATCCTCTCTATACTTCATATCCATCACATATCTTAATGGCTCATCTTTCTTACCCTTTCTTCCCCCTATTCGCCGCCTTGTCCTCTATCCGTTTCTCTCGATTTCACCTCTTCCGTCCCCGTTTTTATTTTTTCTTTTTTTTTGCTGCCTCGCTTGTTTTAGTTCTCACGCCTGTTCATCTTTATATCTCTTTTTTTCTCTTTATATACTATCTAATTCTTTTATTACCGTCGCTCTTACTTTTTATATTCTTATTCATCCTCTTAATTATTATCTTTATTCGCTTCCTCTCTTATCACACACATATATCACGTTATCTCTTCATTTCTTATATTTGTATCTATCTTATCTATCTGTTTTACTTTTCTCATTTTTTACACTCTATATTTACCACAGACGTCATTTCACATTAGTACTATTGCAAGAACAATAATAATATCAGCGTTCTCTACATTTCTTAACGTTTGTTAATTTATGTTCCCATATCTTAATAATAATATAAAAAAAAAAAAAAAAAAAAAAAAAAAAAAAAATAATAAACATCTCCAACCTTATCTACGACGGAGGGAATCCCATGGAAGCCCTTTTGGCCCGTCAGTCACGTCACGTTTCATGGCCTTCTTTGCCTTTTCTCAGCTCTGTTTTATAAATATATGGTTAAATAAATGTATCTGCATTCTGCCCGAGGACGCATTGTTCTTCCATTATGATTATATTTAGGTTTTGATGGCTTTTGGGATATTTGTAATTATCTTACCTGCTTTCATCTTATAAGGTAATACAATCTGTTCGCGACATTCTCAGCTACAGCGTCATTATGCTTCATACGGAGAGTTGGCGAGAGCAGCCTCATGCTGGAGGTTGGATTCCTCAATGTCACGGTCGGGACCTTGGCCAGTTCACTCTCGCGCTTTCTTATTGAGCCTCAATCTGCGTGCTGTGGCACTCCGCCCCGGCCTCGTCCAGTCGCTCACTAAGGTCTCGCCAGTTCACGGTGAAAGGAGAGTCTTGGCCTTTTCAGCCTTGCTGCGTGCTGACGTCATGTTCGAACCTTCCTTCCTCGAGTTCTTCAAGGCGAGACTGTGAGTTTTCCTGTATCTGCCTTCTTGGTTTCCCTGTACACCCAATCTTGTTTCATTCCTCTGATCTGGGCGTAATCGGCGCAACTCTTTGTCCTTCACGTCGACTGCCACTTCCGATGTTCTTTTTGTAGCTTACGTTCCATATTTCTTGAATTATATCTAGTGCTTTCTGTATGTCCCTGGTTTGATGTGTCATCTCTCTACCTCCTCTGTATTCTTCTCAATATCCTTCTCTAGTCTCATGTAGTTTCTTTCTTCCTTACGCTTCATTAGTTGTAATTCCTCTTGATGTTTTATCTTTCTTGATATTCTCTTTATAATGTGGTGGATTCTTCCCATATTTATATCTTCAGGTCTCAATCTTTGCTAAGGTGGTTGCACTTGTCCTCAATTAACTGGATATCCCGGGGGGACAGTCTTTGATTGCATCCTGAGGTGCTTCTTCTCCTTGTTAACCTTAGTAACAGTTCTTCTGATGAGGGCAATCTCTTCATTGAGGTTTGGATCTTGCTCTTCCTTTGGTGATCTTGTCCTGCTTCGCCCTTCTGAAACTAATAGGTACTGGATGTCATTGTTATCTTTCAAGATATACTTATTAATATTTAAGGATTTATATGTAACCTCTGTTCTGCATATTATCTTCTGTGCCATTTGCATATTTTGGTTGCTAGTTGCTACTCTTATTCCTCTTATACGCGAAGGCGTTTCAACAAGTGATTTCCTGTAGGTAATGTGAAGGTCAACCACTAGTTTATATTTATTATATTAGATTATATAAACTTAATTACTAATTGTCTCATAAACAAATTATGGTACTAGTATATTTAGGGTTAAAATAATATAAAATATAATAATATAAAAAAACAATAGATAAAAAAAAAAAAAATAAAATGAATAATTTATATATATATTATACTATATATATAATATTATATATAATATAATATATAATATTATATAAAATATATAATATATAATATATATATTATATGAATATATTATTATTATATAAATATAAAACTATTGAATACCAATACAACATAAAAGAGGAATATGTGCATGTAAATCTGCAATGATTTCAAGGCTATCAAATGATGTCACCTATTAAGGTGTCCATTCAATGTTCCTGTCGTTTCTCATGTGATCTTGCGGTTATGTGAGAGGCATGAGGTGTCTGGTGTCCAGACCGCTCAAATCGAGACGAGTGGTTACTTCAGCTAAAGATGCTCTGAGAAAGAAAGAGGATATACAATGTAGTTCCGAGCATAATGAGAAGACTGCAGCTCTGCCTTCCTGCCGTTCCTCCCTCTTTCTTAGTCTATGGTAAAATAAATCGCGTGGCGCGTGGTGTTGGTTCAAATTCGTGATATTATCTGCTATTGTTTCATTTCTGTCGTCTGGACCCATCTAGACCATCCTGTGTATGTCCTTATGCATGTCCTATACACGCCTTTCTTACAAGTGGCCATCTCTTTCCAGTACTTACGATCGGAGTCTCGATGAAGCGGTCAGCACGAGGTCTTTGCAAGCTCTACAGAGATTATGCTTGAGCTTGTTGAATTACCACACGTTGATACCTCAGCCAAAGCCACTGTCGTAGATCTTAAACGTATCACCTCAAACGGTGCTCTCTCTCCCATATTAACACATCTCAGTAGGCAGTTCAGTTGCGCTAGCATTCTGCATACTTGGACAGTGACGAATTTTAGGGCTGTATTATGTATCGCTCGAAGCCTCGCCATAGCTTGGAGTGCTACGGTGAGTGCAGTGCATTTGTACCAACATTATCGTATTTCGGCTCGTGTCGCTGCGATCTACCTCGAATGTCTACCCATAGACATCCTCTGGCGCGCGGAGAGGTATTACTGCTTGTTTTGAAGAATGTGGAATGTGAGTATCCCTACTGTTTTCAGTCTTACTATTTAAAAGTGGAAAGCGAATACAGAATGGTTTAACTCGAGTCATTGATAGACCAACCTCATTTTGCTTATGTTGGTATTATATCGTGTAGCAATACAAGAGCATAATAGGATATGATCAGTTGAAAGTGTAATTTACTCGCGTGTTGTTATGCGCCTTTTGGTGTTACTCCGCAGCTGTATTAGAACTTCCTCGCGGTGTCCAGAGACCTGGCCCTTTGGAAAGCTGACTTCAGCTGCCTTCTTGGGTGTCTCTCTCACGCTGTGCGTAGCATCTCATTGTGGTCGGCCATGTTATTGTTGTATCTACAGGACGACTTAATATGTAGTATGTTTACATCATTATGCGTGTCGATCTCTCATGCATAGTTTATTATG